ATAATGAGGGTGATGCCTCCCAGGAAAATGGCCCAGAAGACCCAGAGCATCTGCAGCCCTGCTGCGTGACCACTCCAGCAGAAGGAGGGAGGCCTCAGACTCAGTGAGCCCTCATGGTCAAAGGGCAAGAGCCCTAGAGAACCAGAGGTCAGCTCTCCTGGAGCACTGGCATGTCTCACACACGGCACACATACAAACATACCGAAGATGCCGGAGCCCATTGCCCCTCCCACTCGTCACTGTTGGGAGTGATATGTTGGGTGCATGAGTTGGTGTATATGAGTGTAGGAGGTGCAAAGGCAGCTTATAACTGCAAACAACAGTGCTATTAAAACTGTGAAGCTGTTCACCCTGTGTACATCAGCACAACTCTGGTCATACCACCTACTCCATACTGTGCTTGGATGTATAAGTAGGAGCCAACACGGAGCAGTAGCTGATGATTTTGTGGTATGGGGTAAATATCAATACCACAAAGCTCACACACATACACACCTCAAGTCCAGCACCCTGATCCATGAGAGGCCCATCCATGTGCAGTCTGTGTAAAGATGCACTCCCAGGGTGGTCGAGAATGGCCGACCTATCATCCTATTCCAGATACAGACGGACAAAATGACAGTGGTGATAGACAAACAGAAGAAGACGGCCGTACTGATCGATGCAGCGATACTGAATGACAGCAACATCAGGAAGAAGGAACAGAAGCTGGAGGGCTCAGAGAAGAGCTGGAGAAGATGTGGGTGAAGGTAACTGGTCCCAGTGGTAATTGGAGTACTTGGTACAGTGACCTCCAATCAGAGATCTCTGTCCAGAAGAGCGCAGTCCTACGAACGGCTAAGATACTGCTCGGTGGTGGACCTGAGCTTTAGTAAACAAATGTTTAGATGAAGATGGTAAGAATCCTGGTGTTGTGTTCCTCCAGATAAAGTGAGCCCATACCCTGAGCTCGATGAGGAGATTGACTTTCTCTCTGCAATCATCAGGGAACAGAGACCCGAGTCCTACAGCTCAGGTATTACACTCTTCTTCTTATCCATATTTGCTATGTGACAAAATTCCCTAATGAAGTAATAAATCCACACTCTTTACTTTCTGGTTTTAGCCCCATCCTCCCAGGAGATCACATCCAAGCAGTTTGAAGAGCATGGCTACACTCACAGAGCATCTTCTGTGGAACAGCCTCCTACTCAGAGTGTCCTGCTAACTAGCATCGCTTCACCCACCCCTAGAAACCACACTGCCGCTCTGAGCAGTCCCATCATCCTCCGCTACCCTCCTGACGACCATGTCTTCATCAGTAAGTCTTTCTGTCCTTGAGTTAGGACCCAGCTTAATTTCAAGAGAGCTATAGAGTCGTTTTGAATAATAGAACAGAAGACGTCACCTTACAGAGGCCGCTGTGAGGATTCAACTTAAACTACTTTTCAACACGTGTGAAAAAAGTAATTGTGCAGTAAAATGGATAAAGCCGACGCCTCCTCCTGATCTCGCTGTATTTCAGTCTACCAACATTGTCCTGAGTGCTGTGGTGTGTACTTAACACACACACACACACACTACAGGAGGTACCGTTTAATTAAACGAAATCGAGTTTGGGTTTATGTTCTGCTGCAAGAGGCCATGGTGTAAATCAGCGTCCCCAACCCCCGTTCCATGGACTGGTACCGGTCCGTGAGTCGTTTGGTACCGGGCTGGCAGAGCTGAGGCTCAGGAGGACGTTACTCTCAATGTTGTTGGCGCATTTCAGGAGGACGCTGCTGATACAGTTACACAATCACACGTTTATTATTATATTTACAAAACACCACAGTTTTTGTCTTGGTTGTTGTCATTTTGTTGTGTTTCTCTGCGACAGCTTAAAGGTGTCCGTGAAAATATTGTCTGACATTAAACCGTCCGTGGAGCAAAAACGGTTGTGACTGCTGGTGTAAAAGTCTTAATCCAGTTGGACCATCATCAACCAGTAGAGCTCCTCAAACTGACTTCCCTCTAGAATTGTGTGTAGCAGAAATGTACACCTGCATTAAAACCACAATCCTCACACATACACTTTTTAAATAAATCACTTTATCAACGTGAGACCTCATCAAAATGATCAAATATGCAATAATTTTCAGGATTTTAATCCTTTAAGTGCCAATTTAAATTTGAATTATAAGTTATTCATTAAAAAAACACATAAAAAAACCCTAATTATTTCCCATGTACTGAGCATTAAGGGGATGGGCCACAGGTGGGGCTTGGATATGTCAAATATTAGCCGGACGAGCCCCCAAACTGTTACGGATTCAAATATTGGGGATGGATACAAGAGTAAAAACCACAATAACAACACTGGTCCGGCCGGGTTGAGTCAAACGATGATTCTAATGATCACACGCGTGGGAGATGGACACCGTACGCAGACAGCATCAGATCTCAAAATGGTGGAGCATTGATCAAACTCTTATAGCCTCTAGTGGCCCCCACCTAATCATAAAAGCCTAAACATTCACATGCTTTCTCTCACACGGCGCCTAAGCTACGACCTTGGCTCCCTGTTTATCTGCTCCTGCTGAGATGGGGCAGAAAACTCCAGCATGTTCTGTTCTCTTCTAATCAGACAAATAAGGCGATGACTTTCTGCAAACAGCATTTCTTATAACTCAGCAGTATAATGCATCATAAAACAATATCATTCATTCACAATAAATCAGCAGTCTAATGTAATGCAAATCAGTTTAACAAATGCAATAGTTATCACCTTCTTCTACTTCAGGAGAATAATGCAAACTAAAACTACATAATAATTCACAATCTTTAATTAGGGGTCTAACATGGCATAAAATAATGTTATAATCCCACACAACACAGCTCATTTGATTGCATTAGTATCGGTGTCAGATTTTAATTTTTGCACCCTCTGGACACCATTGTGCCAAAAATGGACACGCACAGTATTTGCAATAAAATCTTCAAACAAGTGCACGCGTCATTGGTACCAACAGACATAATCATGTGACAAAAATACGTAAAACCAGAGGGGATGATGAGAATTCCCCAAAAGAGATGCTGACTTGGATTTGCTATGGTCGGTGTGGGAGGCACATGCACTCAAGCACACACAATCAACAATTCAGCCTCCAGCCAAGTTCATGGGTTGTCAAATACACAGTTGTCAATAACTCTTCCTGATGTTATCATGGCATGTGTATCGAGTCAAACGAAATCTAAGCCCCGCCTACTTTAAAATCTTGGGCCTGAACCTGAGTTTAATGCAGGACACGACAGAACTCAGACGTTGCTGTGATTAGTTCTGCCACACTGCATTACTGTTATCAATGTTGTTGTCTGTGCTGCTGCAGGAAACAGGCCTGACTCACTCACATCTATTTATTTTCAGCTGCTGTCCTTTCAGCTCTTCCCTCATTTCTCCAAGCTTTCACTAAAGGATCATGTCTTACTCTGATGTCTGCAGACCAGCAAACACTTCTATCATTCATGCTGTCTGTTGGTTTCTCCTCTCAGTCATGAGCAGCGTCGTCATTGTGGCAGGTTCCCTGGCACTGCTGGTAGCGTTGGCTTGCTGGGTCAGGTAAGCTTATTATTTTCTCTCTAAGGTGCTGCATAAACCAAAAGGTCCCCACTATCCCTCTCAGGAGTGGACAGGATGGCCTGCAGTTGCACTGTAGACGTATCCATCATCATTATAGTCATTCTGTTAGAGATGCTAAATTGATTGGAACCATTTGATTTACAGTATTTCCATGTAATTGATTGTTTTTCTTATAAATCTTAAAAAGAGATGACAAAGAAACAGAGCTGTTCAATGTGCTCAGAGAGTGTTTTCCTTCCCTTTAGATTCAGACACCGACTGAGCCCTCCAGGCTTACACACACACTTCCTTAACCCAGTGTTTTTGGGTTTTTAGCTGTAAACTTTGCCCCACCCTGAGATCCTAAGCACTCTAGAAGAGGCAGTCACATAGAAGCACACATTTTTATATTTTTCTGAATTGACTTTCCCTCACTAGTCTACCCATCCCTGCCAGTTCCTGGTTTCCCGGGAGTACATTGTTGGAAACTGTGGACAGTCTTCCTTTCATTACACCACTACAGGATGGAGGTTTTTATGGTCTGAGAGTCATTTGGGTGACACACTACACATACTTATTACTGAGACGTGTTCTGTGAAGATTGATGGAGAAAAAAAATCTATTTTTAAATGAATCTGAAAGATAACAAAATATTGAAACATAGACAGTTTTCAGACCTGCGATGTACTCTGTGGTTTCTTAAGTCTTCTTCGTGGCTTGTTTGCATGCAAGTCACAGAGAGCTGAGCTGTTCCAACCATACTGGGATCAACAGAGTCAAGAGCTGCCTCTTGTTGTGAAATTCATGAGATAATGTGTTTTGAACGTTAACTGTCACTGTTAATGTGTTATAATACAACTCATCAGCTCTTTTCAGTCAGCTCCAAATGTTTCACTATGTGTGTTTGTTGTGTTTATTTTGTTTTATTGTTACAGGTTTCAGAAATATGTTCATATCAATCAGAAAGTGGACTACCCTTCATCTGGACTGATGAGTGCTCAGGCATTCGAGAATTTGGTGAGGAAACAATGTGACTAAATGTTTGGGAGAAAACACACTGAAAATACTTTTTTCAGTGTGTTTATTTGTCTCAGATCACCACTGCCTTCAATGCTGAGCGATGCAAGGATCTAAACTCTACCACCAATGCTCCACATGCAGTACATAATCTGAGTGCTGTTTAGTGAGCATAAATGTACACAATGTAAACCCGAAACGCCTTAAACAAAAATCTTAACCTGATGAACTGTATAGAAACAGGAAACACAGGATCTGAGATATTTGGCCCTTCAGTTTCCACCTGCTGCTCACAGGAGCCTCGTCAGAAACGGCCCCGGTGCAAGAATTGTTCGCCAGAAGCAGCTCTTAACCCTTCAAAGTCCGACATCGAAGTAATCGCTGGAAAATTCCATTTTTGGAAAATGCTGTAATTATTTGAAGTTTATATTTTTATCATATTTGCTACATCAGACTTTTTTTTGCAATGTATCAAATTTATTCTAAAACAAATCCAGCAAACTGATGATGTAGAAGCCTCGAAAACTCAAATATATTGCACTTGGCTTTAATGATTTAAATAAGGGAGAAAACAGTAAGGTAACAGTAACTACATAAAAACTAGGCTGAAAATCAGTGAATTCTAAAATGACGACTCTCAATGTAACACTTGTGGTTTAAGTCATCACCAGTGTGTGAGAGATACTGAGACCAGGAGAGGCACCTTCTGTGGGCATCTGTAAAAAGTCATGATGGAGGCTCTGGGATGGATTGGGGAAAAAACTGATGGAATTATGAATTCAGATCTTTTCACTGTTAAAGAGACTCCCTGGTGGATGTCTGCCTTTGGTTCTTCTTCCTGGAAGCTGCTGTGCTCTGCTGTAGGTCCACTTGCCCTTCTTCTTCCTCCTCCTTTCCTTCTAAGATTGTTCAGTCTCGAGTCTGCCATCGTATTGTTGCTCCCTGGTAGTTGACAGTACACACACCGAGTGGATCTTGGAGTACAGACGATCCCAGTGCATTCTTCTTTGGCAAATCTCTCAAGCTCCTCTAGATTCGGTACTCTCCTGCTATGGATCGTGATCTTCATTTAATCCCACAGACGTTCAGTGTGATTAAAGTAAAATCTTTGTGCAGGCCAGTCAGGAATGTCCACTTGTTTCTTCTTCCGTCTTGGATTGTGTAGGAAGACAAAGTCATGATCCAGACCCATTTTTTGCTGGTGAATGATAAAGGCGTTCTTTAACAATCTTTATAAATATATGCTTCTTTCTTCATGATTCCTTCTACCTTGACAATATTCCAGTTCCAGCAGAGTATCTGACAGCTAGGATGGTGTAGGTGTTGATTTCCGGGTTATGTTCTTCCCATTCAGCTGACTCTTTAGGAGTCTGACTCTCTGCAGGTATTTGGTGGTTGCAGGTTTCCCAGTGGCCTCTTCATGTTTTCCATTTGCCTGAGTAGCCGTCCTCAATGTCTATATGTTGCTTTCTGGTAGTTCGATCCCCTCAGTTCTGTCTACCTTTCCTCTCTTTGTTACCATCCGACTATAATACTCTAGTTCGAATGACATTCCCACGTCATTGTTGTACATTCTAGTGGTGTGGATCAGTGAGTCGATGTCTGGTTCACTCCTGCCATACAGCTTGATGTCATCCGTGTACAGGAGGTGGTTAATACCTTAAAACCCATAGGCAGTCTTGTTAATGATCTGGCTGAGGCCCATACAGAACAGTAGTGGGAGATTTACCAAGCCCCCTGAGCTTGGTAAGTCTTGTGCTATTGGCTAAAGCTTGGCCTCTAGTGTTGTACGCCACATTCCTCTCGAATTCATGAATTCCTGATGAAGATTCTTAAGGTTCTGTTCTTTCTGCAGTTGTAGGCATTCCAGGATCCATGTTTGGGGCACTGAGGGGATTACTTGTAGTCAACCCATAGTTAAGGTTTTGTCCCTCTGGTGTTTCTGCCAGTTCCTTCCTGGCACCCACTCATGTGTTGAGCCATGTGCCTGTTAATCTTAGCCGCTATGATGGAGCTTCCATGTGGTGCTGAGCCAAGTTATGGCCAGTAGTTGGACGGGACTGGTTCCTTCTGAGGGTCCTTGGAATCAGGACTGTCATGCCTTCAGTTACTGTAGGTGTGTCTCATCCATGGACACTCTGGAGTGCAGTTAGCTTCTATAGCCGGTAGGCGTGAATCATGTTAGCGTCTGGTTGCTGTCCAACTCTTCAGGTTTGAGACTCTTTCTTGCATGTCCACTACTGTGATGGTTACTTGTTCAGGAAGGAACCTTCTCATCTCCCCTCTACCCCTTGTTTACTTCCAGCTTGGGGACAAGAAGCTGGCCCACAGTGCCCAAATGTACCACTACCAGCACCAGAAGCAACAGATGCTCTCCCTGAGAAAGTGAGTCACCCTCCCTGCACATGTCTCCTACCTTGCCTACCTTGGCATCCTACCTTGGCATGTGTATCTCTATCCTGTCTCGCTGTTATCCTTGCTGAATATTTGTGTGTTCTCCGCAGACACAGGGTTGAGCCTAAAGTTCCTGACTCTGCAGCCTCAACAGATGAGGAGAATGAGGATGGAGATTTCACCGTGTATGAGTGTCCTGGACTTGCACCAGTGAGTAAACGCTGCATTCTTATCTCCACATTCAGTAAAAGTTCAACTGTGTCCACTGTGTCATTGTGATGGTGTAATGCTGAGTCAGTGGAATCCATCAACAAGAAATAAGGATAACATTAAGGCATAATGTGGGTACAGATACAGCCACTGAACTGACAGGACAGTTGTGAGTGTGTGACAGATTCCTGACTGATTACAGCTGATGTTTGGCAGTAATGATATTCCCCGCCTGTGATGTGAACGATGCAACCATGAGTAGTAACGCCCCTAAACAGCATTTAGGAAAACTGTTGGTGTGTATCCAAAAGCAGTGTGATGGTGCATTCATTTACACGCTGGCTGCACTGTATATTTATATCTTTTAAATTGGTTCAGGGATTCAGTAAACTCTGACACAACCGGCAGTTCTCACCATTTACACTTTCCCAGTAAGTTATCAGTCACAGTGGAAACGATTACAGTCATATCTGCTTATTTAAGTCGTCTGCCGCTAATCTTAGTGCATCGCTTTTGTGATGTTAAGACTCTGGTTCAAAAATGTTGTGCTGTGAAAGGGACGCTCCGAATCCAGGTGCATGTCCTGCAAATAAGTGTCCAACCTGCAGTATTTAACTAGTTAGCTAGTTAGGCAGCTGTGGGTGTAAAAACTCCATGTGCTGACAGGTAAGAGAGAATTAGAAGTTATTAGCGTTCAACCCGGTCCTAATGAGCGACTGTGCAAACAGCACCCACAGCCAACACTTTGAGATATGAACATGGGAGATTATTCACAGCTGATACTGATTTTATACATTTTCTGTATCATTTCCTGGGATTGTGCAATCAAACCACCATCATCATCATCATCATCATCATCATGGGTTGGCGTAATAAGCAAATGCTTCAGCCAATACCTTTTGATTAGCCTTGTCTCATGCTTTCTTTCTTTATGGTAGATTTTTGTTCTGTTTTCACTGTTTGTTTGTTTGTTTTGTCACTGTTTTCACTGAGATTTGAATTTGAATGCTAATCAATAAAATCAAATCAATAAAATCAATAAATCAATAAATCATCATTGTCATACCCGTCAACCTGAATTTAAGGAATAAATCACACAAAATTTATGGGAAACTACAGGAACTGTCTGAATAATGACAATGAATAAATAAACCCTTTAATAAGTATTTTAAAAATTATTATGCAGATTATGTCATTTTTATGTAGCTGTCTTAACAGTAGTTTTACTAATAATGTATGGATTGCATAATACACAGCGTGTAATCCAGAAGAAGGTTCATTCAGCACTCACTGTGGCCGGGTTTGTATTGTCTCCAACGCTGCTTCTGTGTGAAGAGCAGGAAGGTTTCTCAGAGATTCTCTATGCAACACTCGACCCTTTCAGCTGCTCTTTCAATCTTTCTGAACTCTGCAGAGTCAGAACAAAGACTTAGAGTCATGAGACGGAAAAGATGGAACACAAAACAAAAAATAAGAGCAAAGTAAGCGCAAAGATATATGAGAAGCATAAGCAAACTAAGGAATAAACTGATGACATTAAACAATAACTGAACTTCCCAGGAAGTGTGTTAATCTAAGATCTTCCCCTCTGTCTCTTTCTTCTCCTTCAGACGGGGGAAATGGAGGTGAAGAACCCGTTGTTTGACGACTCCACCCTCTACCTGCAGAGATTTCACAAATGAACCTGGACACAGAGACGTTTCATGCTCTAAAAGCAGCACCTGTATGTACAAATATTTACACGTCAGTTTAATTGTTCCAGATCGGACACATACCCTAAACAGCCAAACTACATTTGGTTTTTCCCGTTTTGTTTACATATTTCTTTACTGTTTATTACACACATATGCAACCATACGTGCTCAGCATTTATGAGCTCACAGATAGAACAGGCTTTGCTTTTATTTCAGCATTTTAAATGGATGTAATGTTGATATGAACACAACTCAGCTCAGCGACTTCTCTTGTGTGTTATGTACACATTGTTTTTCAGTTGATTTCCGTCTTGCTGGCACCATGTCTACATGCATCTGCATTCTTACAGTTCATCCAAGAAATTTAAATATTAGACAAAGATAACACAAGTAAATTAAATGTATAACTGAAGGTGTTTGTGATTAAGAGGGGAAAAATCCATACCTGCACAGCCCTGTGTGATGAAGCGAGTGGGAATGTGGACTGACGAGACAAAGGTTGAACTTTCTGGAAGGTGTGTGTCCCATTGCATCTGGTGTGAAAGTAACACAGCATTTCAGAAATGGGACATCATACCAGCAGTGATGTATGGTGCTGCTGGTGTGACAGTCTGGGCTGTTTTGCTGTCTCAGGACCAGAAGACTTGCTGTGGTAAATGCAAACATGAATTCTGCCAACGACCAAAACATCCTGAAGGAGAATGTCCGACTATCTGTTTGTGACCTCGAGCTGAAGCACATTTGGGTTCTGCAGCAGGACAATGATCCAAAGCACACCAGCAGGTCCTCCTCTGAATGGGTTAAGAAACACAAAATGAAGACTTTGGAGTGGCCGAGTCAAAGTCAAGACCTGAATCTGGTTGAGATACTGTGGCATGACCTAAAAAGGTGTTTCATCCTCGGAAGCTGTTCTGTGTGACTGAATTACAAGAATTGTGCAAAGAGGAGTGAGACACAACTCCCCGACAGAACTGCAACAGACAGTTATCACAAACTTCGGATTGCAGCGGCTTAACCAGTTACACACACACACACGCACACGCACGCGCACGCGCACGCACACGCACACGCACACACACACACACACACGTATAATTTGAAAATTCTGTATGAACTCAGACGGTCTTGTGTATTCGGTCTACAGCTGACATTGTGTTTTCATGGTTTTGTGAGCTGTAAATAGTGGCTGATATGTACAGGAGCTATCTTACCTCTCAGTCAGTCAGTGTGGCAGGAGGTCCTGAGTACTGTGTCAAATGCACATCTGTGATTCGATTTCTTAATGTGAATTTGTATTTGTTGGGAAAAGACAATGTCATGTATAACACGTTAAACTTGATGCATTCGACTTTTGTACCCATTGTGACGAAAGCAGCGAGGAGCCACACCTTCACGTTCAACATCCCCGCCCAGTTTTACTATGAAGAGGTCTCGACCTGCTGAGGCGTCAACAAAACTATGAAAAAAAAGGAAAATTACATGTAGCTGTGGACACGTCGCCATAAAAGAAACTTAAAATCAAAGAATCCGAACAAAAGGAACGACTGAGAATATTTTAAAAACGGCGCCGACCACAGTCCCCAGAAATATACAACTTAAAGCGGCGCAGAAACAGCGTTCCCTTTATGCATCAACAGCTGCAGTGTGCGATTGCAGCCTTTTCCAACATTGAACTGATTCCAAAGCTTTTAAATTTACTCCCTGGGAGATGGGGACATTTTGAAATGTATTCTAGATGCAGAACATGTGTTGGCACACACTGGATCAGGTTTTCTTTCCTTTGTCAAATCTATGTTTGTGCATTTTACTTTGTCCTGCATAATAATCACTCAAAGAACGTGAAGTTTGATTTATGATTTTATTTAAATATTATGGATTGAATATTACACTCACTGTTACGATATTTCCATCGATGCATAAATGCAAACGTGCAACAAATCCTCCCTTTATGATCGTTCAAACTGTTTACCTGCACTGTACAGAGTGTTTCTGTCATTCATCATCATGTAAAGGCCATCCATATAATTCAGCTGCCCGTGTTCCAGGGCTTTTACATTACACTGCATTAGTTTTATCCAATAACCTGCCTACTGAAGGTACAGTATGCAGTCCATGTAGTGGGCTCTGCCTAATAAAGCGCACCGTTATAATCAATGCAGAAATCTCCTTTTCTTTGCAGACTTCATAACGGTCTCTGTCACTAACAGCAGAAACTCTGGATTTTTATGTTGACTGGGCGTTCTCTGCTTTTCCTGCACTAGAGCTGTTTGTCTGACCTGGTTAGGACTTAATATGCACAACTGCCTTTCTATATATGCTCATATCGCCCCACATAGCTCATAGATATTCTTCATACATGTAGAATGAGTGTCCAGCTGCAAACAGTGAAACAGTCCAGGAAACCTGGATGTAACCGCGTCTCTCAGGAAAGCCGCTGTCTGCGGCTCTTTCTTCATCCTGCTGCCGTCCTCCTCAGCCTGTCAGCACTTCCATACTGGAGGAACACATTAATCTGCACTGGAGCTGCTCATGTACGAGTGTCCACGTCCAAACTCACATATGTACCAGGGAATATTAACACGGAAGCCCTTTACTATGTTAAACAGACTGTTGAATCCAAACCTCTTAAGCTTGTGCAGCAAAATGAGTCGTTGGATGAGGAATTACAAGAAGAGATGTAATTCTCATGTTGTTTGTCTTTGTAAAGACGTTCTGCAGCTCTGCTTCACCAGTGCTGAGCAAAAGCCCAGCTGGTTGTCTTTATTTGCTCCTTCTTTCTGTGTACAACAAGTCATTCTCTACATGAGCTACATGTGAGACTGTTTGAAGGCTAAGTGTTATGATTCTGTACATTTAGGACAACTTCATTACTTCATGTTTAGCATGCTTGTGGATATACCAGAGCTGAAAGAAATAAATATTTATATAATCGCTGTCTGAGTAGTTGTAAAGTGTTTGTTTTTCTTTCTTTGTTGGTTTTTTTGCATCATCTTAATCCAATATTTCATAGGTTAGCAAATATTTCTGTCCAATCTTAATTCAAGGAGGAATGTTTCTCTGGTATGAAACTGAACCCTGCTGTTTCACAAACCTGTACATATGCAGTAAACATGCACTGCATCGACATCAGCACTGTGACAACTATATATTATCTTTTTGTCTTTGTTAATAAAACATTGTATAAAAGTTGAAATATGATGGTTATGATTAAGACCTGAGCACTCTGTGAAAGCCTTACTGTATCTGCTCTGATTACTGATATTCAGGCAAATGCATGGTCTTCCTAAGGGCCTAAACATACTGTAAAACTCGTGAAAGTCTACACATGCATCAGGTCTTTTGAGGATTTGGAGAATATAAAAAGGCTCCACAGCGCCACGTCTGAAAGTATTCCCAGCGTGCAGCTGACCATATGGTCCACAGCTGTAACAACCCAACACATAGGGACATGACCCTAGCATCATGAGAACTTTTGATATGTTGCCATGAAGTATGCAATTTCAGACTAAAAAACAGTGTGTCCAATGTGACTGAAAGTTTCTCCCACCGAGGGTAAATCGAGACTTTACAGAGTCCTCTCCATGACACTGCTTCAAGAGTGAGAGCTGTGTGTTGAGGCGAGCCTGACTATATTAGCCAGTATCTCTCAACCTCACACACCAGCTCAAGCTTCTTCCATGTCCCAGTAGCCCAATAGATTGGATTGCCAGGGCCTCTGCCGTTGGCCGCCACCCAACACACATTGCACCCAAACCCTATGGTGTCTCCTGAAGGGGGTCGGCCTATCGCAGAGCAGGCCCCATGGGGAAAGCCTCAGCCACCAGGTCCTCTCCGTTGAGCTCCTTCCCCAGGCCTGGCTTCAAGTTGGGGCCCTGGTAAACCTATCCTGGGCAGGATACAGTAGCTCTTGCTTATTCCTCTTTTGTAAGTGTTAACTGAATTGTTTTTGGTCTGCCCCCTTCACCCAGAACCAATTTGCCTTAAGAGACCCTACCAGAGGGTAAAGCCTGGACTCATAGGGTCACACAAGCCCCTCCACCATGGTAAGGTGGTGGCATTATTATTATTACTATTCTCATTATTATTATTCTTAAAAACATTTTTCTAATACATTAAGCTGCCAAAACAGCTCTGGCTCGTTAGGCCATGCACACTCAGGTCGTTGCTTCAAGCCTACGATCACACTCCGAAATCCTAAATATTGGGACGTGGGTGTGTTCTGGGTATTGCCATATGTGATGGAGTTCATTATGCTTCCTACTGTCCAAGAATGCTGTTGACATGCTGACGTTGCATCAACACCCGGTCTCAGGGTTTCAGAATATTGCATTTCAGATTGTTGCAATCATCTCTGTGCTGCAGCATAAGTGCACCAGGCTCCAGTTTTTTACCAATTATGTGGTCATGATTGACATTGTGCCTGCAGACAGCTTCAAGTACAAGTGGAAAAAGGCTTCAGAGACCACTGAGCTCCAGGCTCCATGGTACACATACATGCACCCTGTCAGTCCCACAGCTACAGTGTATTTATCTTACAGACATTCTCTGACAATCTGAATGGGAGCAGTTTGTGTGTTTGTAGAGCTGTTTGAAGTTATTACTGAGCACAGTTCCACATCGTTCCAGCTTTCACATATGTGCGCTATATAAATATGCACCACATATATTAACTAAGTACAACTATACTGCATGGTGTTTCTTTTCAGCACATTTGACTGACATGCAGTAATAGATAATAAAGGTCACACTTTAACAACACTAACACGTGGCACTTTTTCTCACATGTTTCTTATTTTAATCAGTTAAATTATAAAATGGATGTAAAAGGATCCTAAAATTAATTTTACATTTACTTAGCTTGTATTTACATTTCATGAAACATTTGATTATAATACACCAAAGAAAAAATGAGTTACACTAAAAATGAATATATAGTTTCTATTCTGAGAAGGTCTGTCAAGTAAAACAAATTTGATGCCATTTACTGGATAGACGAGATCATGAGTTGAACAGAGAAGAATGAAGTATCCTCATGTATCCTTCATGCATACAGTTTACTGCATGTAGCTCCTGTTTTGTAAAATAAATCCGTATCATCAGATGTTTTAAGTCATACAGCACAGTTCAATACACCTGATGTCGTATTTGATGCCTTTTAAACTAAACGTGAAGCGACCAGAAGAAAAACAACAATCTTGTAAATCATTAATTTTTAATCTTTATAAATAAAATTCAAATGTGACGATTTCTGCAGTTATGTCTGTTTCTTTACACTGGCCCTATGATACAGAAATGCATTAACTATAAAGGACAAGGCACGAAGATTTCAGTGACTTATTGTCACAAAAGCCATATTGATAATTTGCCCGAGCACCACGTTTAGCTTGTTTGTGGCTCAGTTTGTCCTCTGTATACCTTTTTCCTTTTTTTGCTTTCTTCTGACCACTACTCCTGCTGCGGCCTTCATCTGGGTCGGAGTTTTTTTTCCAGGACTCAGGTCAGACTTTATCTTTTCAAAGATTTATCTATTGCTATTACGTGATGTGTGGTCTTAGAGACACAGACAACCATTCACACTCACATTCACTCACAGATTCACACCTATGGGCAATTTAGATTAATCAGTTAACATATCCCCACAAACTGCATGTCTTTGGACTGTGGGAGGAAGCCGGAGTACACGGGGAGAACATGCAAACTCCAAAAGAAAGACCCCGGCCTGATGGTGGAATCAAACTCAGGACCTTCTTGCTGTGCGGCAACAGTGCTAACCACCGTGCTGCCCAATGCTAATAATAATAATAATAATAGTAATAACAACATTTTATTTATAGGTGGCTTTATACCCTCAAGGTCACCTCATCTCTGCTAACGTCTAACTCTGTTAAATTTATTAAATTCGGTTTTTGTGGATGCCTGGATGTTAAACTTAATTGTTACTAGAGATGGACCGATCCGAATATTGTTCTCGGTCCGATACTGACCTAAATTACTGGATCGTATATCGGAGAGAAATAAAAAATGTAATCCGATCCATTAAATATCACGAAAGCACCTCACAAAACTTGCGGCATGGCGTAAC